TATATATGTGTGTGTGTCCGATTTATATATACAGTATCACTTACCTGCCAACAAGCACTAAACCTACTGGCGCATGACATTGCATTTCATTCTAGCTGGGAAATCTATACCTGGAAGAGGTTCTTTACCGTCATTTGATCGAGATCTATCGAGATCCTCATGTTCTGAAGGTATGTCAGTGTGTGTTAATATATAGTGTGTTTAAACCGAATGTGAAACAGTAAGCCGTGTGATGTGATTTTGTTTTCAAGTTCGTTTCTTAATGAATATAAACCGGACGTGCCATACACTGCGAATTAGCCTGAACTCGTCCTTCATGTACACTTCAGCCCCGCTGTACGGTATTATCAAATGAACATCTACCGCATATACGATCTATTGATATGATAAGTCGCGTGAAGCGACGTGTACGATTGTGGTGAGGCGGTCGTAACGATATGTGTGTGGTGTGATTATGAACATTGTGTCACTAGAAACCCATTCTTTTTTTGTCTGTGTGCGTTAGAACGTTGGCCGTTGTGTGTGTGTAACGTCATGTTCCCCTACACTCATTGAAAGCAGTCGATGAGTGTGGCCTACCTGATCCTTTCTCCTCACCACTTTCCCGAGTTTTAAGGTTCAGTGCATAGTCTTTCTGTACTCTCGCGTGTGGCGGGTGCATTTGCGAATTCTGAGTATGAACGGTGCTATTTGAGCACCACTGTGTACCTATAGGTCATTAAATGTGGCGGTAAGGATGGGTAGATATCTCATGTGTTATGAAGGAAGTGCAGCTTGCGAGTTGTACCGCCCAGACTCCATGCACATGCCCATGTCCAGCTACGGTTATCAGCTTATACAAATGCGCATGATGGCGTAAGCCATAGATGCGCCTATGCACTTCGAGATCAACGGCCTGTTCGAGGTCAAGTGGTCCCCGGCTTCTCTGTGTCATTGGATATTTTTAGTTGTGAATTGGACTAGATTCTCTGAATCGTGCTTTAATACGCATATTCTCTGAATCGTGCTTTAATATGCATACGATCCTGCACCTAAATTTGCCAGTAAGGGGCCTTGCTAACCCGCTTCCCATATATCCTATCTTACTGCGCTCGCTCATATGTGTGTGTGTGCGTCCACATCAGCGCTTGTGGCCAATGCGTTGTTTACAATGAGTGCCTGTACATTAGTTTGGTTTCAACCCACGACAATCTTAGGTTAATCACCCGTGGCTTTTGCCGACCTGATCCCCAATATTTCGTCTTTTTTTGGGGGGCTATCATCGAACTGCTTATATGTACTTCTTCAGTTAACCCATTCTCGCACCTTAATCTTTTCGCCCAATCCTCCATATCTGCCCACCTATTCAGATCTGGACTGATCCGCGCCTTGCCGTACAAGTAACGGACAGAGAACGCCATCGACAGTGACAAGATCATGTGAACTGAACATTCAACTTAGGCAGGCGTCAAATACAGCAAACGTCAGCCTCGCATTCGAGGCGAACACATATATATATAAGCATATTGATATACATATGTGTATACATGTGTATAAACATATGTATATAAACTACGCAACGGATCTGTTGGATTAGTCGGGATCAACCAGGTAGACAATGTTGCTGTGACAGAGATATGCACACAACAGAAACGCACTAATCAGCCGTCTGGTAGATGGCCTAAATAACTATCCCAAAACTTCCCGTACGCAATGTCAAAACGAAAAGTGTAAATAAATGCAATGTGAAATATGCGAGTAGTAGTGAATTGGCACTGTGGTTACGCTGCTTTCTCGTGGATAATTATGTTTGACAGATATCTGGTGTTGCAGTGACCACCGCCATTGCGATCGCATGGTGCAAGCACTTTCAGGGAAGGCATACGGTTGTGCCAGTTTCCTTGGTCTTCTACGATCGCTATTACTTGCTCGCGATAGAGCCGTCCATCGAGATGATTGTGTGTACCCGGTCTATAGAATGTAGTGTATTGTCGACGCTCTAGCCCTGCCGGTTGTTGCAATAGTGGAGCGGGTAAAGACTAGTTGGCTGGAAAGAGATCATTTCCTCATAGGGCTGAACGCTGTATTTTGACGAGTACAGTGGTGTAAACTGTGACACTAGAAGTAGCTCGGTTTCTCTATTTGTGACTCGTTAACTAGGGAGTTTTTTTCTTCTGATCTATTGATCGACTGATATCGTCGGCGACGGTCGTTATATCCTGACTTAACACTGCCTAAAGCTCGGCTACAATACGTTTATGCCAATGCTGATCGTCGTGATATATATGGGTGGCATGGAAGTTCGTTGTTGTTAATTTATCAAAGACACAGCTGACAAGCAAACTGTTTGCCAGGAATACAGTGAGTTCCTGGGCACATCTATGTTTTGATTTACATCGTAATCGTCGATGGTGGTATAACTACTATTTGTGACCAGTGATTCGGGTCTTGATAGCGGGCAGTCATTATAAAACAAACCCAAGTTTAAGTGTTGCCTTAATTTTTTATTGAAAGCTATTGCAGAACAAACCATTTTTTAGTTTCAGAAAAGAACCTGGTGTAAATAGGTCAATGCGAAAGGTCACTCTTGACAGTCATGATTTTGGATAGGAATCCAATGCAAACCGTTTTATATGGAAAAATGAAACAGGCTAAATAAAGGACGAGTTCACCTCAACGTGCCAAAAATATATGCTTAGACTACCATGGTCTCATACTCAACTATTCATATAGATAAACTGAAAACTCAGTCTTTAATTAAGCTGATACCAAAATGGCTAAACAGCAAAGCTTTTGTTACATCTATTGCACTTTACAAATACATTTTCGTACAAAATACAGACAGCAACACAGTGTACTGTGCAGTGAAAACTGGTTTGCTTGTTCTTTATTTTCTCACCTCTGGCTAACTAATCGTCAGTGTAACTTTTTTAGTCTCCAAAGTGAGGAACTGAGCTGCTTTTAATGGTATATTTTATTTCGTCAAGCCTTGCAATCAGTGATGACCAAGAGATAACCACTTTAAGATACGAAATAATGAGATTATCCCGGCTAACTCATTAATTGTAGTCTCTCTTTCTTTATGAATATCGTCATGGTTTGCGGTAAAAACGGAAGGTGTTCCTCCCATTGAAGTGGTACCGCCTCGCAGCATTGCCGTTTTGATCGTGTAATATCCTTATGACGACACTCGGCTGCAACAGTATATTTGTCTATAAAGAAAAAAGGATGTAATGTTCATACTGTTTAATCTCTAAACTCTTGTTGAATTTTAAACACACTCTAACAGTAGTGATGACCAAGAGATAACCACTTTAAGATACGAAATAATGAGATTATCCCGGCTAACTCATTAATTGTAGTCTCTCTTTATTTATAAATATCGTCATGGTTCCTTCTGGAATAGGCATGAAAACCTTCCACCTCTTTTCCCGCAAGGTCGACTCACTATTTTTGAGATTCTGTTCAGCAGTTTTGGAACGTTTTAATGGTCCGACTATAACTGTTGTGTTCGCGTACTCGGTCCTAGGCTTGAATGGAGCCGCGCTAAGTATATAACTGTAGTTTCTGCGTACTCGGTCCCAAACGCTGTATTTAAATTCTAACTCCACACTGATAGCGGTTTAAGGGGACTTTTAGTACAGGCAGGGGTGCCGATTCTTTAGTTGCCGTGTGGCACTTGGTGTATTGTCACACGAGTATGATGTACAGATTGTCGAAAAGGTGGCTGCATGTAAACGAGTGTGGTATAAAGCGTATCCGATGACGATTCAGATTCTTTGCCACGAAACCGGGCAAATAATAATTTCGGACGATTCGGTTTCGCCAAACCCGTCAAATCAGGTGGAGAACTTTCACTTTCATAGTCCATCGAACGATGACCTGCGATGTCATACAGTCTCGGAAGCGCACACGGGATGATAGTTCAAAGTTCAACAACGAACCCCCAATCACCCTAAAACCACTCACCGACACACGGTCAATTTTTGTGGTTGAAAACACTGACCCAGTCCCAGCCTCTCGGTCAATTTTACAGTCCCAGCCTCTCGGTCAATTTTACAGTCCCAACCTCTCGGTCAAATTTTTGAGAGATGTAAAAGTTAATTAAAGACCGAGAGGCTGGGACTGTGAATGTTCTCAATTAATTGACTGAGAAGGATCGAAACAGCAAATACTAATACATACATATAATTGAAGTAGGCAGAATATTTGTATACATTCAACAAACCTACATGCACCTACTAAACCATGATGGAACAGCAAGTACATAAAGCAGCTCGGACGAGGGATGTTACTACGCTTAGCAATATATTGCTGATCGATGAATCACAAATTGATACTTTAGACGAGGTATGTTTATATATGCCAGCACGTGTGTGGGGCGAGCGCGTCTACATACAGTATGTGTGCGCCTACACCTATAGCGTCAAGGTGCTAACAATTGATGGCTACGTTCTAACAGGATGGTTGGACACCGCTGCACTCGGCATCGTTATCTGGGTACAAGGACGTGGTTGAGCTGTTGCTGGCCAAGGGTGCGGATATCGATGTCAAAGCCAACGTAAGTGGATCCAGATGTATATGTACCAGTGTGTGGGTGAGTGCGTCTACGTGCTGTACGTGTGCGTCAATGCATATAACACAACCTGGTGCTAACAATTGATGGTTTCGTTGCAACAGGATGGTAGGACGCCGCTGTTTTCGGCATCGGAGACTGGACACAAGGACGTGGTTGAGCTGTTGCTGGCCAAGGGTGCGGATATCGATGTCAAAAACAACGTAAGTGGATACTAAAGTATATGTACCAGTGTGTGGGTGAGTGCGTCTACGTGCTGTACGTGTGCGTCAATGCATATAACGCTAAGGGTGCTAACAATTGATGGATTCGTTGGAACAGGGTTTGTTTCCA